TTTTTCTGGAAGGTTGCCTATCTCCACTTCATTTAGTTGTTTTTCTGGGGTTTTATCTTGTTCCTTCACCTGGTACATAGCCCTCTGCCTTTTCATTTTGTCTCTCTTTCTGTGAATGTGGTTTTTGTTCCACAGGCTGCAGGATTGTAGTTCTTCTTGCTTCTGCTGTCTGCCCTCTGGTGGATGAGGCTAAGAGGCTTCAGCAAGTTCCCTGATCAGAGGGACTGGTTGTGGGTAGAGCTGGCTGTTGCTCTGGTGGGCAGAGCTCAGTAAAACTTTAATCTGCTTGTGTGCTGATGGGTAGGGCTGGGTTCCCTCCCTGTTGGTTGTTTGGCCTGAGGAATCCCAGCACTGGAACCTACCCAGTCTCTTTGGTGGGGCTAATGGCAGACTCTTGGAGGGCTCACGCCAAGGAGTACTTCCCAGAACTTCTGCTGCTAGTGTCCTTGTCCTCACGGTGAGACAGAGCCACCTCCCACCTCTGCAGGAGACCTTCCAACCCTAGCAGGTAGGTCTGGTTTAGTCTCCTATGGGGTCACTGCTTCTTCCCCTGGGTCCTGGTGCACACACTACTTTGTGTGTGCCATCCAAGAGTGGAGTCTCTGTTTCCCCTAGTCCTGTTGAAGTCCTGAAATCAAATCCTGCTAGCCTTCAAAGTCTGATTCTCTAGGAATTCCTCCTCCCATTGCCAGACCCCCCAGGTTGGGAAGCCTGATGTGGGGCTCAGAACCTTCACTCCAGTGGGTGGACTTCTGTGGTGCAAGTGTTCTCCAGTTTGAGGTTCACCCACCCAGCAGTTACGGGATTTGATTTTATTGTAATTGTGCCCCTCCTACCATCTCACTGTGACTTCTCTTTTGTCTTTGGATGTGGGGTATCTTTTTTGTGAGTTCCAGTGTCTTCTTGTCAATGATTGTTCGGCAGTTAGTTGTGATTCAGGTGCTCTTGCAAGAGGGAGTGAGAGCACATCCTTCTACTCCACCATTATCATTGAACCAGGGCTCTATGATAATCTTATATTGTGGCTTCCTTCTATCAGAAAGCAACTTTTCATTGGGCATTTAGCATAACAACCAGTCACAATTTATCAGTCTATGGTTTAAAATAGGTTAGTCATTTTTAATTAAAAAAATCATCTTAAGTTTTTATATTCAACTTGTTTTTATAAGAATATAATTAATAATAAAAATACCAAAGCTCGTTGTAAACGATGAAACAAATACATTTTAAAAATAAATAAATCATCTCTTTCCTACTCTCCTTAATTCCCACCAGGCAACAACCAACTTGACTTTATTGCTTTTTACCTTGAGAATTAACTTTATTAGGTTTTTTATTACAAAAGCCTTGCCAAAACAATGCAACAATATATAAAGATATTAATCTTCCCTTTATCCTTCTTCCAATCTTACCTCCTGGGATTAGCCATGTTACCAGCGTAGTGTATATCCTCCCAAACTTCTCCATGCTCAAACAGTAGAATACAAACATATAGATCCTGGATATCCCTCAAGGACAATAGCTATAGATCTAATTCATTCATTTAAATAGTGATCTGATATTCCAGAGTATGAATGAAACAAATGTTTTTAGTCATTCCCCTATCAATATTCACCTTTTTTTCCCTCTGTGTGTGTGTGTGTGTGTGTGTGTAGCAGGGAGTGTAGGGAAAAGGGTCACCACTACAAACAACACTGCCATAAACTTACTATATGTAGGAAATATACTCAAAATATTCAATGGCCAGCACAGCAAAGAAACTGAATAATCAGAACTGATATCCAATCAATCTGCTGCTACACCATGCCCATACATAATTCAATTATCAGCTCTAATTTTGCATTCTTTCTTTTATATTGCCACTTGTATTTCTAGAGCATAAGTTTTCCCATAGATTATTGTCTAGGTTCCAGTTGTCTACTGTTGCATAATAAATCACCCCAAAACTTAGTTGCTTAACACTACAGCAATTATCTTACTGCCTCTTACTGTGTTCTGGAATTCAGGAAGGGTTGAGCTGTCAAAGCCTGACTCGTAATTACTCATGCAGCTGTAGGTAGATGGTGAATGGTGCCAGAATGACAAGGGGCCAGAAGAGCTGAAGCCTGGTCAGCCTCTTCTCCCTCTTCATGTAGTCTCAGAGCCTCTCCATGTGGTCTCTAGCATGGACTAGTTTAGGCTTACTCACAGCATGATGGTCTTAAAACAGTTGGGTGTTTTATGTGGGCAGCTGAAGGCTTCAAGAGAAAGTATCTTAGCAAACAAAGAAAAAGATGCATGGCCCTCTATGACCAAGACATGAAAGTCACACAGCCTCACTTCTGCCATATTCTGTTCAATATAGGTGAGTCATAAGCCAGCCTAGTTCAAAGGGAAACGCCATGTCTTCATGAGGGAGTGGCAAGGTTCTAAAAAGACTATTTTGGAGTAGAAAATATTTCGCAGCCATCTCTGGAAAATAAAATGTGCCACAGTTTGCCTTCTGGCCACAACTTATATCCCTCCCACTTGCAAAATATGCTCACTCTCTCCAAAAACTCTTCAAAAGTTTCATCCCATTATGCGTCAGGCTCAAAATCTAAGATCTTACCATCTAAATTAAACCCAGGTCCAAATGAGGTTACTTGTGTGTGGTTCTTCAGATACAGATGGCTGAGTATTCTTCTTCTTTATCTGAAGACCTATGACCTAAAAAGACAAGCTACCGGCACCACATGCCCAACATAAAAAGGTGGGACAGTAATAGGATAACCACTATATATGGCTCATTCAAAAAGGAAAAAATGAGAAGCACACAGCAGGCACTGGTGTACCCAACTTGGAAAAGCCTTACAGGCACTCTGTTGCCAGTTTACTGATTAAGGCCCAGTACTCTTCCCTGAGACTAATTTTCTGGAGCTCTGGGCTGTATCCTCTGGGGTCTTAGTTCTGCCCTCTGAGTTATCTTTTTGGTTTTCTTCTCATAAAATGTAGTCTATATTTTCAGCTAAGTTGAGTAGTTTTCCTAGCCTGTATAAGTTCTTGCCTATAGAAGATCAAGGAGTCCAAAGCTCTCTTCACTTTGTACTGCTTCTACCATTTCAGTTCAAGCTGAAACTGATACAATTCTTTTAAAATTTTGTGGAGTTTTTGTATGCCAATTTATAATCTAGTGTATTATACGAAAATCATATCCCAAATCTCTTTAAGATAATTCCTCTCTACCTTGGGTTCCCTGTGAAGTTCCTGTAAAACACCGTTAAAATTCTTGAAAGCCCTGTTTTTGAATAGGGAGGATCTGTGAGGCAGTTCCTTAGGTCCTTAGAAAGCTTTTGTCTGTTTAAAAGGGTCTATGGGGGTTTCCCTGGTGGCACAGTGGTTGAGAGTCCGCCTGCCGATGCAGGGGACACGGGTTCGTGCCCCGGTCCGGGAAGATCCCATATGCTGCGGAGCAGCTGGGCCCGTGAGCCATGGCCGCTGAGCCTGCGCGTCCGGAGCCTGTGCTCCACAACGGGAGAGGCCACAGCAGTGAGAGGCCCGCGTATCGCAAAAAAAAAAAAGGATCTATGAAGCACCTTTATCATAGTAGTGGCCCCAGATGCTCACTTAGAGCCTTTATACTTAAACTTAAGTTACAAATCTAATAATCATGGCTGTCCAATTTGCCAGATTCCTGAAGATCTAATCGGAAAAGTAGAAGAGGTAAGTAAGAGTGGCACAGCTACAGTCAGGCAAAGTGACAGTAATGAGATATTACAGATGAAGTCAGACACAGATGAGGATGCAGAGAAAGAGATAAAGAGGAAAAAGAAAAACTCAAACTGTGCAGTAATCTGAGTTATTTAATTTTGTTGTAAATAATACTATACTGCTCGGTAGTAATGAGATCAGGAAAGCTTCAAGAGATCACAGAGACGTTAGTTGACAATCATTTTGGCACTGTGGTTTAGAGCACTGTTCTGGAGCTAGACCCTGGGTTTTAATCCCAGCTCCAATACTGCCCTGATGGTACAATCTTAGGTAAATTATTTTATGACTGTGCCTCAATTTTTTCATATTTGAAATGGGCATGATACTCAGACCTATCTTGTGGGGTGATTGTTAGGGTTAAGTGATATAATACATATAAAATGCTTAAAAAGTGTCTGGGACACAGTAAGCATTCAATAAATGTTAACCATTGTTACCATTATTATAATTTTGTTTGGTTGGCTTTAGAAGATAAAATATTTAGAAAGAATTTCATCACAAGTGGGTAAAATATACATCATCTGGTGCTGAAAGAATTATGCTCCAGTTATCTGAAAAAAATCTCCGTATGTGGAATTTCTCATTCTAGTGAAGCCAGACTGATGATACATGAGTATCCCAATTTCACAGATAAGAGAACAAACAGCTGAAATGAGGAGCTAAACATCCCTCACAAGGTCAATCCTGAGCTCCAGAACTCCTACTCAGTAGTTCAGGGAAGGATTTTACTGTTTCATTTTGTTGTCCCCCCACCGCCGCCTCCGCCCCGGCACCATTCTTTCTTGAACGGTGTCTTTGAGTACTGCTTACCAGTCTGGTCTTCCTAGTGCCGTTTTCTTACATACCAGGGACAGGCAAAATTTCCCTAAATTTGTGATTCAAGATGTTCTAACATTTCTTCCAGTTACATTTGGAGGATATTAAAATCAAAGAGCATCCCTTACAATCCAAAGATCAGAACAACTTTCCAAATAATCATTTGGAGCAGCTTCTTGAATTTTGAAGGATCATAAAACTCTTTAACGATCTACCAAAACTATTGATCTTTTCTCCATTAAAAAATGCATAAGTACATTTGAGTATAATTTCAGGGGATTCATGTGGGTTTCCCCTAAACTACTGATATATCAGTTAGAGCATCCATGAACAACAGTTTCAGAACCTTTGATTTAAAGGCATTAGTAAGGTATGACTTCCTAGAGGAGCAGAGTATATTTTTTCTGATAGGGTTATTTGTCTTCTTTATAAAAATCATAAGCAGAAACAATTGCTAATACAACATATTGAAATTATCTCCTCCAGAGCTGAGCCAGAATCCTTTTCATTTGTGTCTATTTTTCCCTAATCTATCTGTTTCTATAACTATTCTTGAATTGTCAAGGCATTCTTAAATTTGACCCTCATGTAATTGCAGAATCTGTCTTCCAGGATTATTTCCCAAAATTTAGTTTCTGTTTGGGATTTGGTTTTAAGCCAACAATTCAAATATTCAAAATATAATATTCTGAAGAAATATTCTCAAATTATTTCAGTCCTGCTGTTAGCTTTTCCTTCTCCACAATGTTCCTAAGGAATGAAATGCCCTTGGCTTAAATCTAATTCTTCTTTTTTGTCTGCTTAGTAGTCTATGGTTGTTTACCATATATCAGAAAAGGAAATGCAAGATGTCTTATAAATTGTTAGATTTTGATTTATTCTTTAAAAAAATGTCAGTTATACATTTGCACATAAATTGAATTTATATTTCCCATCCTTCAGTTTTCAGAATTTGCCAAGAAA